ATTCATCAATCCCAATATAATTAATATTATAAAATTCATATATTACCCCAATCATATTTATTATCTATAATCATGCTCTTATAACTAGTTTCTATTAAAGAAACGCTATTCAATGGCATCCCCTTGATGTTGTTAGACATCAATGCAACCACTATTAGTGTTAAGTGAATGCATACACTTATTTTCTTCCATGTTATATAGCAAGCGAGCTCTTGAATGAATTACCAACTCATAATAAAAATCCTTCTTCTTTGAGAACCCCTCACTATAATGGCGATGCTCATAGGTTTTCTTGAAATCTTCATAACATTCGTTTTCTTCCTCGTCTTACAATGTTTTTTGCTCCACAAGAAAACTCACAAGCCTTTTCCCACTAACTGGCCGGTCCTTGGGATGCTTCCGGGTCTACTCCTCCAAGTCCATCGTATCTACGACGTTATCGTCGAGGTACTTGAGGCGAGCGATATGACGTTTTGTTTCAAAGGGCCGTGGCTTAGTGGAACGGACATATTGCTCACTGCTGATCCGACGAATATCCACTACATTCTATGTTCAAATTTCGTTAATTACCCCAAAGGAATGGAGTTTAAGAAGATCTTTGAAGTCTTGGGAGAAGGGATTTTCAACGTTGACTCGGAGTTGTGGGAGGATTTGAGGAACTCGTCTCATGCCATCTTTAGCCTTCAAGAGTTCCAAAAGTTTTCGGTGAGTACAAGCATAAGCAAATTAAAGCAAGGGCTTGTTCCTATTCTTGAGAACGCTGTTGAGAAGAACATCCTCGTCGACTTGCAAGATTTGTTCCAGAGATTCATGTTCGATACATCTTCTATTTTGATGACAGGGTATGATCCAAAATGTCTCTCCATCGAAATGCCTAAGGTTGAGTTTGGTGAGGCGGTTAATGGTGTTGCAGACGGGACTTTCTATAGGCATGCCAAGCCGGTTTTCTTGTGGAAACTTCAATATTCGATTGGTGTAGGAGTAGAGAAGAAAATGAGAAGAGGTATTGCGGTTTTCGATCAATTGCTCGAGAAGATCATATTGGCTAAAAGAGAGGAGCTAAAAAGTCATGGTACTCATGTTCATGACTCAAAAAGAGAGGCCATGGATGCTTTAACATATTACATGACTGTGGACACGACCAAATACAAGCACTTGAAACCGAGTAGCGATAAATTTATCAGAGACGCTATTTTGGGCTTCTTGATTGCAGGAAGAGACACAATAAGCTCAGCTCTCACTTCGCTTTTCTGGCTTCTCTCCCAAAATCCTGAAGCAATGACCAAGATCCGGCAAGAAATTAACAAGAAGATGCCAAAGTTTGATCCCGCAGATTTAGACAAGCTCGTGTATCTAGACGGTGCCGTGTGTGAGACGTTAAGGCTATACCCACCAGTCCCATTTAACCACAAGTCACCGGTAAAACCAGACGTGCTTCCAAGTGGGCATAGAGTCGATGAGAATTGGAAGATAGTAATCTCTATTTATGCAGCAGGGAGGATGAGATCTGTTTGGGGAGATGACAGTGAAGATTTCAGACCAGAAAGATGGATTTCAGATAGTGGAAGGTTGAGACATGAGCCTTCGTATAAGTTCTTGGCGTTTAATGCTGGTCCAAGAAGTTGCTTGGGTAAAAAATTAACTTTCTTGCAGATGAAGACAGTGGCCGTGGAAATCATACGAAACTATGATATCAAGGTTGTCCAAGGGCACAAAACCGAACTAGTTCCTTCTGTTGTTCTTCGCATGCAACATGGTCTCAAAGTTAGTGTCACTAAGATATAGTGATAATATAATGTTTATATATGTTTTCTGATAAAAAATAGTTGTCAAGATTTCAATAAAAGATGCATGTGTACTCATGCTTAATTAGATTTATTTTGCAACAACGTCTTGTATCCTTTTTCAAAAATAATACGTCTTGT